GGGTGTTGAAAATGTTTTTGGAGGGGTGGACATTTTGTTTGGGGGGTTATAGCTAATATTGGGGTGGTAGCACCCCCCTGCACCCCCCCCACAAAATCCGTCTATGATTTACAGCAACATTAGCTTGTACAAAAAGACACCTCGTGTATGAGCTGATATAAACAGCTCTTAATTAATGCGGGTTAAGAAAAAAACAAACCAGAGCTGCTTTGAAAAAATGTCAAACAAATAGTTTATTACTTTACACATTCACATTTCTCTAACAATCATCACAACACGTTTTGTCCTGTATATGAAATATCCCGCAATTCCAAGATATATACACTACAACAAAACATGCTGGAAATGGTAGTAGATCATGGCCAGAATCAGGGACATAATTTATTCTACCTGCATGCTTACTAATTTGCATGTCACTTTGCATTATGGCTTCAACTGTGCAACGCGATGTTGTAAATCGCAAAATCTGGGAATAAGGCGGTCAAGGAACCAGGTTATAGGTCGTTTGCAACTAGCCAAAAACGCCGATTGTAAAACAAAGCCTGTCGAATAATTTAGCGCAATACTGGCCTGATTTAAGTTAGTTTCTCTTCTCCAACTTTTATATTTGTAACAAAAATGCAGGCTGCCAAGTATTGACTTTAAAACTACGCCAACATTACACTAAATACTTTGACAGACTTTGTTTTACAACCAGCGATTTCAGCAAGTTGCAAATGACCTATCTTATTCTCAGATAATAATGATATTTGTGGTGTTACTCTGAGTGTATATCCACACACTCAGAGTAACACCACAAATATCATATTCACCTGAGTACACTACACCAACACAGAAAAAATTCTTATTCTCAGATTTTTAGATTTACGACATCGCACCATACTTCAACTATTGTTGAAACCATATTTCAATGTAATTTGTTAGTTCTAGCCACGTCATGTTTTGGCGTTATCTTTCTTACACCCATCCCAAAAATACTTAGGCAGAGTTTCAATTTGGTCCCGGCTGTCCTAGCTAAATCATTGGTCTAGCAATACATTGTCAGTCAAGATATGGTCTGGAGACTTATGCAAATTTGTGCACGGTGAATAAAATGAATTTGGTGGCATTTACGAGCACGAGAACTGGCTATCCAACGGCTTTACCAGGACGAATTACTCAACAGTTATGTTGAAATGTTAACTTGCCGATTTTAAAAGATTTCATCGAAGCTCAAATCATCGAAGCTCATTATAGACGCTTTCAAGCTAGAGGATGGGGGAAATATAAGTTTCAAAATCTCAGAAATCATCAAAATATCAGCATGCACTAGTCGAAGCTGAAAATTTCCGCGGGGGTGCGCACCTTCCGCGACCAGAAAATTCGCATAAACTTCGAACTTTGCCGAGTTTTCAGGTCATATTTTGATTATCGTCTAGGTTGGTTTTTTGTTTGCTGCATGCAAATAATGTTTGTTGATTGAAAAAATATAATGGCACTCTATTACATCAGCCACTTTGACATCATTGTCGCGAATGCTACGACCAAATTAAACGAGACTAAATAATCAAACTATCTCAAATCGTTTTCGATGTGAATGCTGTTAAGCCTCTTTCCATTTATCGCAAGAGTCAACTCGCAAGCTTGGTGCAAATTCTTTCAACCAATCGTAGTGCTCGACAGTCTATTTTAATTAGATGCAAACACTCGCATCAAGCTTGCACGTTGGTTTTTACCACGAGTGGATAAGAGTCTTAATAAATTAAGCTAAATTAATTTTCGAAACAACAAGGTAAAAAACACCATTCAGTACTATATGACAAAGATACTCAATACCGATTGGCTGGGAGGAACACGATCATACAGTTAGCTCCCAGTACAAGCTATTTTTCGTGCAATCAGAGGCGTCAGAGCCAAACTTTTGTACTTGTACAAGTGTACCAAATGAAGAGATACTTGGCATTTCTTTTGGGTTAACAACAGAGTATGAAAAAATATTTTTCCAAAGGAATGAAGTCTGTATAGAAATTGGTGCTTATTTTTACGGGATTTCATTGCTAATCATATAGAAAACGAAATTACGAACACAATAAAACTAATTATAATAAAATAAATTAAAAGATAATAAAGACTAATCAATACTCTGATATCAGCTTTCCTTACCATTTACCTACCAACGACTTTGCCTTACATATAGATTTTGCGCTAGTAATTTAGAGTAAATAATTTCTTCCGTTGGTAGACAAATAGTCGAAAGGAGGAATTGAAAGAGATGTTCAAATATTCAAAATAATCAAAATGACGCTTTCGAGTAATGATGAAATCGCAACTCACGAATAATCAAAAACGTCAACAGTTCTCTTCATATTCATTTGAGCATATCGACATCCCAGATCAGTTGGAATGGTATTATCTGACTGAAGTAAACTTTCATGATTTGTTAATTTGATTTTAAGAACCGCTCTTTCCATTTCCTGTGGCATTTCAGTAAAAAACCACATCAATGTTTCAATATTTTTTGGAACCAAGTAAAACAAGACTGGAAATTGCCTCACACAATATTAAATACTCTCGGCTCATGACCATTTGCCCTCATTCTATACATAATATAAACATGCATGCAGCTAAATCATTATGCATGCCAAGTGTCCAGGGAAACCACGTTCTAGGTTTCTAGGTGTGTTTTAGAATATTGCACCTTACCTAATTGAACGAATCTGATTAGGCCTAAAAATACTTAATATTGTGCAGGGTACTTAAATAAATATTTACATCCAAACCAAATACAGAATACTGAATCAATGTTGGCCGACCAACCCTAAAAACCGCAAAAATATTTTGCTACAATGAATCCAAAAATATAAAATCTACCAGAAAGATAAACTAATTACAAAGGAAAATTTCCACTTGCCAATAAAATTTGTACTTGAAAAATGTCTTTTGCTGCAAGGCTTCTAGCACATACTATAATAAGAATCTTATCCTTTATGATAGACCTTTGACTGACTTAGGCCAAAAACCGTAGTTTTAGTTAGGCCTAGCTAAAACATCGCGCTTATCATGCAAGTGGCGAACGTAACGTATCTACGACCTAAACTCATTGTTTGAGCTCATTTACATTAATTAAGTTCAGCACATGAAAAGTTCGACGTTTAAACTAGGCTTAAAGGGATACGGCAATATATTTTTTTATTATTTCATTTGGAAGAACTTTTAAAATTATATGTTAATCTCTTTTACCGATTTTACGTAACTTTATTATTTCTTGAGATATTTGAACAGAAAAAATCACAAATCAGCGAGCTTTCCGCCATCTTGGATTTTTGGCGGATATGCATGTGACATCATAAGCAGGGTCACGCAAGAATTTTATCCATAGAGCAATTGGTTATTATGAGCCCCAAATCATATACTTCAGTAACTATTTGAAATAAAAAACTGTCTGACGACTTTTCAAACAAGACATAATGTTATTTGATGATTTAGATGTAGTTTTATATGGCTGACCCTGCTTATGACGTCACTAAAATCACCGATAATGAGATAAAAATTAATCCAAGATGGCGGACAGCAAATTATTTTAAGTCAAAATATTTCAAGAAATAATAAAGTTACTCAAAATCGGTAAAGAAGATTAAGATATAATTTTAAAAGTTCTTTAAAATGAAATAATAAAAAAAATATATTGCCGTATCCCTTTAATACAAATAAATATGATTGATTTCCTTTTGAAGAACATAACTCTCACATTTTGTGAGAAAACTTTTATTATCAATCGCCAGAAAGATACTTCACCATTTCATTTTCTTGCGAATTATTAAACATATAAGATTCCAGCCAATTTCTCTAATCTAAATAAAACCGCATTCACATGGAATGCTGTACATAATTGGTTTCAAACAAATCACTCACATTGTACTTGTATAGGTGCCAGGACCACGAAATAAATGCTAAATAAATAAACGGGTTGTTTCCACAAAACAAATCAATCATATTTCTCACCATGCAAACCCACAAGAAACTTAGAAATGTTATTCTTCTCCGTGGACAGTTTGAACGTATGAACTAAAATAAATTACCTATATAAACCCTTTCTGCATACCAGGAACATTGTTCTCTTGTTCAAACTGTTCACAGACAAAGTCAAAAAGCAAGACCAATGCTTTAATTTTATCACCGTTCGTGGTGAAATACCAATCTTACTTGCAAAACACATTGTAAACCACTTCTTCCTTCTTGCTTCTTTCTTGAGACGTGAAATCAAAGATTTGCAGCAAGGTGATCCATCGACTTAAATCTATGGTCACATATCCATTCTTTTTTTTTGTTTTAAGACCTAATGTGAAAAATCACAAGTTAACATATACATGCATGATCATTTCATGCAATTCCATTTAATCACACCACATGCATGCATGCAATGCCTTGCCATATCAAGCCGTACCTAACCATACCTTACACCATACTAACCATACCTCACACCATACCATACTTTACCATGCCATCCAGATACTATAACATACCCCCATACTATATCATGTCATACTAGTAAAGCAAATCATAGCGTAGCATAACATACTACACCATAACGTAACCTACGTCACCATTCCATGCAGAATTAAACGTTTAAAAGTTTTAATCACATAGAAACTGACCTCTGATATGTAACAAGAGCAGGATAGCTCGGAGCGCGTTGTTCGTCTAAGACGACTGCATCTAACTGTCCGAGATTTGTGGCTTGCACATGGATGGGAGACTGTCCTGGTGACATAGTCTGCCCGTGTACTGCAGACTCGTTGCCATCATTACTCAGTCCTAGCTCCTGAAAAGAAAGGAATAACTTTTCCCTAAATGTTGCGAACTTCATTCCAAACTTCGTTGCGAAGTTCAAAAGATCATATTGAAATTCACTGGCCAGTTTGTAAAAAAGCCTCTGTTGGCCCCTGAACAAAAAGAAGCCAATCAAATTCATTGTTTACAAACCGGTTTGTGAATAGGATTACGAACTTTTGAACTTCGCAACGAAGCTCGGAACGAAGTTTTCAACATTCAGTGAAAAGTGATGTGAAATCATTTGGGTATCCCAAATTAACTACAAGGCATCCTTTTTGTAATACGGCTCAAAGTGAAAAAGATGTCCCCATTGTAAGGCATTCCTTTTACTGATGTTTAAAAATTCGTAGTATCGTGTATCCTAGTTTCAGAAATCAGATGTTATTTAACTGGCTTTATAGTCCTTGTTCAGTGGTAAAAAAATTTCGCCATCATTTATGAATTGAGAATTTAGATACGCTGCTTACCTCCATTGGTACTTGAACCAAATGGTGTGATTGTGCATTCTGCAACATGTGGTGCCATGCTTGTTGGGATGCAAATCCAGCTGGCAGTGTACCAGCGATGAATGGCTAAACATGAGAAAACACTCATTATATAAAATTCAAACACTTCAAATTACTTTAACATTTCAAATTACTTTAACAAACTTACTATATCTCCTGACATCGAATGCAAATCGCTCATTTTAGAATTTAGATCATATAAATTTGTTATATTATATAACAACCCGAGTTTATCCGGCATTTTCATTGGTCTAGAGCAATCTTTTAGGGGACACGTGATAGGCCAATCACAGCTCTCTCAGAAGTATCACCACCAATGGCGTGCTTTCTTTTGTATAGATCATAGATTACGTAAAATGGGGTGTATATATTTTTTCATCGCGCCTCAAAGCCCCCCAAACGTCTTTGTTCGCTTTTTCAGATTTCTTTATTATATAAAACAAATTTCTAAAATTATTGGGTGGCGGGGGCGGCGGTCCCCCCCCCCCCCTACCCTAGGTAGTGTACGCCACTGGTTTAAAACTGCTTTGCCTTAGACGTCCAGTAAACCGAATACGCGATTATTATCTCGCATCAGTGGCCACGACAAACACAACTATATGGCAAGTTGGCAACCAGGATAAACAACTTACATTTCCTGACACGTGCATGTGATGAAGCTGATTGGTCATTTGTTGTACGCTGTTTGGATGCATTCCTTGCTCAACACCTCCTGTTGGGCTGAGTGAAAGTTGACTCTACAAAAATGCGAATGTAAACTTGAAACAAACACAATGTACATATTGGTTTATGTTAAATTAAGGTATATGTTCTTTTTCTACGAGAACATTATGGAAATCGTGTATAAGGGGTGTATTTGCACATTCTGAAACTTCCAAATATCAAGATTATATAGTCAGGATGAAGCATGGCTTCTTCCGCAATGGCAGTTTCTTTCACATTTCTTAGTGAACTGGAGGTATATTTAATATTACTATTCTAAGAATATTTAAGTATGTTTGAAGCGAAACAAGAATTATTCATAATAAGTTTGTAGACGTTCTCTGGTTTTAAATATTTATTTACTATACCATTCAAAACATTTACCGGAACAATACCGCTTTTTACTTAGCAAAAAATGCATGTAATTTAGGCTAAGTCATTAATCCTGTATATAGACGGTCATTTTTGTCATTTTGTATCTATATGTAATTGTAAACCGTTGTAATTGTCACACTCTCATTGTAATCCACCCGTTGAAGACTGCAGAACAAACCAATTAATAAAGTATAGTTACAAATACAGTACGGATCATGCAAAGCAGTACATTTTCCATCTTATACATGTGAGTCTATACAACTTACCGCAGCTACTTGTGTTTGCAGAGGAAGATACGTAGGAGTTGTGAGACAGCCGCCCTGCCAAGCTGCATACTGAAGATGAAATTTAAGAAATAAGTCGCACACCTACTTTCAACGTCTTCACGATCATGAAAGAGAAGAGTTTCGAATAGTCACACTTCATGCATAACATCAGTGCCAACACGTACATTGGGGGTGCGAAACTAGAAGGCCAACATATTCTGACCTTTTCGTTGTTGAAAATTGTAGTCCTCAACCCTTTCTTGTGTCAAATTTGACAAAACCCTCGGTTACTTACTAGTTAAACCGCTATCTTTCAGTCTTATTAGCCCCCACTAGTATTCTCTACGACATAACATGTCTAAGGTTAATCATCTATTAATTAAGCCACTCCCAAATAATCCTACTCTATATAGTAATAACTCCTTATTAAGACGAGGAAATTTATTAAGCTCTTTATCTCTTTTAAGCTCTCTTCTCCCTCCACCTTCGAAAGTAATAAGATCTATTAGTCAGAAATTTGAGTTAAGTTATTGTAGTTATTGCGTTTCTGCAAACCCCCTCAATAACTCACTCCCCCCCCCCCCCCCCGCTTTCCAATATCTCCCGCGTCGCCCTCAAATATGGCTGAAATAAGGGGTTTAATTTGAGAAACGGTAACTAGAAAGTGAATTAACCTGTTGATAATTTGCTGGTAAACCAGTTGTAGCGCCTTGATAGCTACCCTGGATAAAAATAACAAAAGATATAAATTATACAACTTACACAAGATTACGTTACGACTATGATGCTTCTATATATTTAATATTCTTACCCATATCTTATATATATATATAAGTTTTATATCCGATAAAACACTCCTACTCGTGTTTTAAATAGTACTTAAATTAAAACTTACCGGTGAAAGAGTTGAATGGGAGGTTGGAACAGATGTCGGCACAGCCACATTAATTCTTCTAGAATTATTGAAGACATGACATATGAAACATGTTCATCACACAGCCATTTAATTATTGTTTTTCACATGATAAATAGAGTAAGTAAATGCCCAAAAATCTAGCAACGAAAGTCTCAGTGCTTACCCATTTAGAGATTGAATGTCGTAAGTTATCTTCGGCGACTGAAATGGAGACAAAAATAGACAAAAAATTGTGTGATATGATTTTTAGGTAAATGCTACTTTGAATAAACAATGTATTAGCCATTTCCCAATCGAGCAGAGGACTGGGTCTAGTTGATGTTTGGAGGGACGCTTGGATGGACAACAAGTTATAGTGCTTGTGATGTTACTCTGAGTGTATATCCACACCGGGTAGGCTTGAAAAATATGCCTGGCCATGCACGGTGGGAATCGAACCTACGACCTTTGGAATACTAGCCCAATGCTCTGCCAACTGAGCTACGCGGTCAGGTCGGTTCGAGTATATTTCGGAACTGAGTCTAGTTCCTTCGATATCAATGTAATCTAGTAATCATGATATTTTCTGTGTTGGTGTAATGTACTCAGGTGAATAAGATGCTTGTGATGTTACTCTGAGTGTTACTCTGAGTGGATACACTCAGAGTAACATCACAAGCATCATATTCACCAGAGTACATTACACCAACACAGAAAAAATCATGACTTCCTAGATGCCATATTCGGCATATTATTTATTTTTTGTCCCTCCAAACAAGCGACTAGACCCAGTCCTCTGCTCGATTGAGAAATGGCTAATTATTATATGGCCCTAAATAATTAAGTGAAATGCAGAAGGCCGATTGCCCACTACGCCTGGCAGTGAATCATATAATCAGACAAGAACGCACCTCTTTTAACGGTCCACGCCAACCTCTGTCTATAACGAAAACGACAAGGATGGATAACACAATGTGGATGGATGTTATTCATATCAACGTTATTCATATCAAGTTTATCAACGGCTATTTTTATGAGTCACCTAACTGGGTTACAACATGGTGTAATCTATTTTAATCTTAGTCTGGTATGTACTTGGTAGGTTTACAAGTTCCTATACCAACCAGGCTGTTCACTGGACAATTTTATGCTATGAATTGCTATGTCTTTTCAACTTGATATAGTTTATTTTACCTGGAGACAGTTTGGCTTTCTTCGGACCTCCATCAGCAAATTTTACAAGTAACGGATCTTGAGATCCTAAAGATCATTAAAAAAAAACGCTTGAAACTCACGCTTGGAAAATTTATGCTTTTAAAGAACATGCACTTCTACCACCAGCAGGTAAACCAATATCTTCTCTAAGTTCTCTTCCAGTTGTCAGATGACATTTCTTTACCGTGATTAATAACTTGTTACGATATTGTTACGCTTGCACGTTTTAAATATTGTTGTTCATTGATGCAAGATCAATCCCCTTGAACATCTGTGACCATAAAATTAAAAACTATAATTTCTCATGCCTTTTAAATAAGTTCCATTATGCTTCTTAATAATCTTTTCGCATATTTCTTTAGTTTCCATTCTGCAAAGATTGAATTGCATATTAACTCATGCATGTAATTTACACATACAGATATCTTTGGTGTTGTTAAAATCAAACCAACGATAGGGCAGTATAAATCTGCAACAAGAACAAGAACAACAATAATAACAACAACACCGATAACAAGAACAACAAGCAACAACAGCAACGGCAACAACAACAGCAACAACTACATCAGCAGGAGCAACAACAACATCAGCAGGAGCAACAACAACAGCAGAAATAACAACTATGGCAGAAGCAGCAACAGCAACAACAACAGAAATAACAACTACAGCAACAACTACATCAGCAGGAGCAACAACTACATCAGCAGGAGCAACAACAACAGCAGAAATAACAACTACGGCAGCAGCAGCAACCGCAGCAGCAACAGCAGCAGAAATAACAACTACAGCAGCAGCAACAACACAACAGCGACAACAACAGCAACAACAACAACAACAACAACAACAACAGCAACAACAGCAACAACAGCAACCGCAGCAACAACAGCAGCGACAGCAACATCAACAACGACAACAACCACAGCAGCAGCAACAGCAACAACAACAACAGCAGCAGCAACAGCAGCAACAACAACAACAACAGCAACAGCAGCAACAACAACAGCAACAACAACAACAACAACACCACCATAACAACAACAACAACAACACCAACAACAACAACAACAGCAACAACAACAGCAACAACAGCAACCGCAGCGACAACAGCAGCGACAGCAACCATGCCTGTAGAAAGTAGGAAGTTATGGAGCGACACTACCTCCAAGCTCTAAAGGGCTAACTCCAAACCAAAATATACACTTGAGTAACTTGTGTAATTCAAGAGTTGAAATATGAATTCTGGAGTTACTGGCTAACTCCAAAAATCATTTGGAGCTAAGTATACAACTGCAAAAATAATTTAGGAGCTAGGCATCTAAGCCTGGAGTTACTGGCTAACTCCAATAATCATTTGGAGCTACGTATAACTCCAAAAATCATGAAAAAACAAGGTATCTAAGCCTTGAGTTACTGCCTAACTCCAAAAAGTATGTG